CCTTAGTCGAAACATTGTACATTTGCTGTTATGTCAAACTTATATTAAAGTTTTTCTTCATTACCCATTCAAGCCGTCTCCAGCCATTATTAGTCTCAAAGTGGGTTCCTCGTCATCGAATTAAAACATAATATTTTTGAATTGTTAAAAACTATTCCACAGATGTCATTACACCACACTATTTGAACTATTCTTCAGAACAAGTGAAACACACTTACTTTCTATTTGTGTGTGTAAATCATTGACTATTACTTGCAGCTGTGCTACATTCATGTCAGTAAGAATCTGACGACTAAGACGATGACGTCCATCAGGAAGAGTAAATCCAACCTTGAAAAACAAAAACAATGGTTATTACTACCAAGAATACACCCAAAAACAAAGTAAAAACTTAATTTTATAGTGAAGTAGAAGGCCAAATAAAGCTGCTATAGATTAGTTTAAAAATAAAACAATTTATGCTATTAGAATCAAGTATAAACAATAAAACTGTTATAGCCAAGTATAGGATCAAATGATGTAAGATTATAACCAGGCACAAGTATAAATAGCTGGGTCTCTTAGCAACAAATGTAGGCCATATGGAGACAGACCAGATAAACATCAAGGTTTTTTTCATGACTTCTGCAGGCATTAGGCTTTTTTAATAGGATCCATGTTATCCTAGCCTTATGGAGTCTATGAAAAGGAATTTTATGTAGTGAACCATTTTTAACTAAGTGGAGTTTAACCCTGAGCAATACTTGCATGTACTGTTCCTTCTTAAAAATTTAACCCTAAGCAATGCCCATTTAAATACAGCAGATAAAATAGACAAACTGTTCAAACAATTTCAGGTAAAAAACAAATATAGGTAAGGTCTCTAAACTACTGAGATTATGTAATCTATGCATATAAGACAAAAAAAAAATTCTCTATGTCTGTCTATTATCTAACTACCCCTAGGTTGCTGAACAAATCTCAACCAAGCTTTGTGGGATGATAGTTTGAAACAAGGGGAATGTTAATGGGGGGTACACAACCCTTTAACCCCCTATTATTACTATCATTTTTATCCTTAATGTAAGTTAACTACATTCATAGATGACACCACATCCTCATACCAAGAACAAAAAATATTAAAGTTTCTGTAACACAACATACACAAAAGTCTTACATATCTCAGAGAGTGCATTAACACTCTCTATGTAGGAATGCAATGAAAAAAATGGTCGTCAATATTGCAATACTACATAAATCCAGCTGAAATTTCTACTCCAACAACCACCATAAGGCTGATACGAAAAGCTGTTTCTTGAGTTATACCCACTTCCTACTCTGACCCATGACTATTCCACTACAGCCTGTGAGACATTTCAATGGCCAATGACCATCAATTCATTAATCATGTGAAACACTGTGGAAGGACTTTAAGAGCTGGTTATTGAAAGCAAATAACAGAAAGCACCCCTGCTGCCACTACTTTGGCCGCAATGGCTTCCTTCAAAGTCACCCTGACTATCATACAGTGTATACGAGGTTTTAAGTATATACATATTGATTTATTAAAGTTTATATAAATCTTTTGGTGAGGTAATAATGAATATTGTAAGAATACTTTATAAATAAATGGTGTGAAAGTTAGGATTTTTGTGTTATTTATCATAGCATCCACTCCAAGTTTTTTAAGTTCATAATCCAGACAATGGACAGATACCTCAGCTTACTTGGAGTGTTTTATATTACAGATTAATTGATTGAAACTAAATAAATAAATGCACTTTGTGAATCAAAATTTGGTAGCAATATTTTTATTCACTCTTTTATAAAAATCAAGATGCAAATCAGACAGTTTGTTTATGCATTTTTTATTCATGAACTTATTCACATGGTTTTTAAAATGTTTGCTTATGTTCAAGTATCTCTGTTTTGTAGTCTGTGTCTTGTCTTTGTGTACTTTATGAAATTGAGATGAATCTAAAGATTTACAAATAATTTCTTTTCTGCTACTCTTTCTTGTGTGAGGACATAAAAAAGACAGGATTCTGTAGAGTGAATCTTATAAAACAGGTATTTTATTATAGAGTATTTACATTTATTTAGTATAAAATATAACTGGAGGGAGAATCATGCCTACAGCTTTGCCACTTGGTGCAGCTGTATCAAACTATATAGAACAGAAACATAAGAGGGAAAAAATTTATAATCAGGTGATTTGACTTGCATGGATAGTGCAGTATTCGTGAGCCGTGTTTGAAACTTGGCATAAAAAAAAAGTTACTAAATAAAATTCTATACAGTGTATTGTGGTAACTGTGAAGTAATTTAGCCTGTAAATAATATACAAAGATGAAACACTAATAAATATAATAGTGTGTTTGTGTTGTGTAACTATTTATGCAAGTCAAATTTAGCACTGAAATCAAACTAGTCAAAATACAAATATGTTTGATTGTTAATATAACATGTGTAGCTTGACAGTTACCCAATATTATTGTAATTGTGCATTACATTTACATTAAACTCCCTATATGAGACCCACTTGTTTATACTTATATTCTCAGATTCTCATGATAAATTTAGTTGTTTGTTGTTAAACACAAAGCTACGTATTAGGCTATCTGTTGTCTGTCAACTGCATGTACCAAAACATACTCTTTAGCATTATCTCCAAAGAAGATTATATTTTAAGATGCATTACACTTGTTTCATTAATGTGTCAAAGATGCTTCTAAGAAAAAAAAAGTGTTATCTGTACTTTTTGAAGAGCATTTGTACAAATGTGCAAGTTCATATAAGTTTAATCACCATATGTAAAATCTTTTATAAAATATAGAATTTTAAACACTTGTAAGTTTACAGAATCTTAAGAAGTGTTAATGTTATTGTTTTTCTCATGTTTCAGGACTTTATTGATGAAATGAATTGTATGCTTTAGCCTTTAGGTGATTTTTTGTAAAAGAACTGAAAGCTTGAAATGCTCCTTGAATTTCTACAATCAAAATATAAAATCTGAGCCATATAGAACTTTTCTAGAAAAAGAAAGTTTCATAAACTTTGATAGCTTAACAGTAAAATTAAAATTTGGAAAAAATGAAAAGTTTTAGTCATTTTATAAAAAATCAAATTCAAAATTGGCACAAAAGTTGTCGCAATGAATTCAATAACAGCAAGTTTGAACTATAAGGAAGAAGAGAGATAGAAATGGTGTACGGGAAAGTAGTTCTGGAACTGAAAAGTGATATCATTAGGCTGACAGCCAAGCCTTTAACAAAGCCACTTCCATTTTCTTAAAATTGTCACCATTCACAAAACAGACAAAACCAAGACAATTCACACTGTAGCACAGAGGAAAACTGAACTTATTTTACATGTGGAAAATGCAGCAGAAAATGGTATATTCTGCTTCAAATTTGCAAAGCTGCATTACTTATGCTACAATAGCCTTAGCAATCTTGGCATTACAAAAGAGATCAATAAAGTTCACTTCAAGCATCTACTCTTAGACTATTTTACTGAAGTGAAAGAGCACAGTGACAGAACAAACACTATCCTTGTTTTAAAGAGAGAATATAGAAGATGCTTAAATGGCTTTAAGCAAGCCTTTGAAGGTGACACTTTAATTTTAGCCAAGGCTGCCAAGTTTGTGCATAATTACATATTTGCTTAGTGTAGATTCTGTTTCAGTGACTTGTTTCCCCTGAATGTCAGCAGGAATATGTACCCACCAACCTTAAGTATCTTGTAGGAAGCGAAGTTTTTAACTATTAACTTCTGGACTAAATCTTTTGATAACTTAAAACTGTAAGACCCTTAATTTTATATCAAAAAATATTGTTATTACAATATACATTTTTCTTGGAGTATGCCCAAAACACAAATGAATATCCTTTATGTATTAGGGGAATATGACATTCTAAAACAGTCCTCATTAGTCTTACACAAGATTGAAATAACCTTATTCTTCAAACCAAAATTTCTATATAAGTATTATAAAAATCCTTTTTTTGTTGTTGTTGTTTGTTTTCACCACAGCTGCAAGATTGGCTAAAGGTAAAACACAAAACTTTTTCAGTCTCTGATACACCTGTATTCCTCCACAACTTTTTGCTGAATGATATACATCAAGTATACTAATTTACACTTTTAATAATGAAACACATATCTCAAGTTTTTGCCCATTATTGGCTTTAAATATTTAATCTATAACACAAGAATCAAGCTCTTTAATTATTCAACTTCATTTTGTACATGACTAACTAATTATGGTAAGTTGTATAGTAACTATGGAATAATGAAATGATCTTACTGACAGAAATAGTGGTTTTTACTAATATCTTTATCGCACTTTCATGTTTTCCAGTGTGTCTCAGGTTTGTCCACAGACACAAAAATCATCAATATTGTTGCTTTAACAAGAGATATTACCTGTATATTTTAAAAAATATATACAGGTATGATAAAAAAAAACTGCATTTGAATCTACACGAAATATTTGTTTGAGGCAATATAAAACAATCTTGACTCAACTAAATATGATTGTGATGAGAATTTTCATAAACAAAGAATATAATTAAAAACATTGTTGAAACATTTGCACCTATTTTACACTTTTTTTATAATAGCTGAGTGGTCATTCTTCATAGAGGGCCTTATTTTGAGAGCTTAAGTGTCATTATCTGAAAGAAACTTTTATCCCCTTTAACATAGTGTCTGCAGTAAAAAAATATTTTTGGGAAAACATTGTCTAAAATTTGACCAAAGACACCCACCCTAGCATGAACTTGTACAAATTTGTTTGTGCTTTTGTTCATTTTTTTTCAAACAAAAGAGTGCCAGTGAGTCTCGGATAATAAACACTTCTTCACTATAGTAGCTGTTTATACTCAGAAAATAAAAAGCAGTTGAAAAATCATTGTTTGCAAACCCTCGCCTCACTGCTACTTTTAAAGACTTCAATTCAATATAGACTGAATATATCATATTTGGTCAGACTAGTCCAACATCTATGCACTGTATATTGATTATATTGTACTCGTCAATCTAAAACATAAACTCAAGGGAAGCTGTTATATATTCACTCATTCATTATTGATATTATATAATGCTTAAATGTTGCCTATATTGATATAAATTTAAAATGTGAAAGTACGTTTCTATTCTACAAACTGAAGCTACTGAGTTGACAAATATTCCTTGTCTTGTGGTATGTCTTATGCCTGCTAATATGTTACCATGTATGCTAAAGGAAAAAAAAAAAGTAATTACATAATATGCTGTAATTGGTGATTTATTTTGTTGTTTATGCCCTTTGTATATTATATGGTTATATCACAGCCAATACGTAAGTAACTCAAAGTGTTTATAAGTATATATTTTGAATGATTCGTTAAATAAGATTTGTAAGAAATGAGTGTAAGTGGGCCTACTTAGGTGAGGCAAGTAATTGTAAGTAGACTCTAAATACAGTCTGATGTTTCGTCATCAAGCTTTAACAAATGGCGCTTCACTGCAATGCATGACAACAGAAAGCCTTGGTAGCGCTATTTGCACAGTTCTTCCCGAAATAAACGCTTTGACTGGTATCAGATCTTTATGGAATCGGTAAACGATCAGTACTGAAAAGGGTGATAAACCAACCCGAAGAATTTACTGACGTGACAGCCCTTTCTGGCTCCGAAACACAAACTGCCACTTCAGCATATCGAAAACTAATCGCCGTGATGTATGACCCCAAACACCAAGAAGCAAAATGTCACACTAACCTGAATGTACTGAGAACTAAACTAGCAACTAAAAAAAGTATCGTTGCACCGTCTCTCTCCATGTGCAAGAAGCAGAATGTACTGAGAACTAAACTAGCAACTAAAAAAAGTATCGTTGCACCGTCTCTCTCCGTGTGCAAGAAGCAGAATGTACTGAGAACTAAACTAGCAACTAATATATATATATCGTTGCATCGTCTCTCTCAGTATGAAGACAGCTTTGCACAACAAGTTAAACGCGCCTCTTGGCAATTGAAAGTATGGAAGACGTCGCCAAAGCCTAATATTGGAACATCTGTCGAACATGGATGGCAGAAAGTTGATAACAAACTAATACCAGTATGGTTTGGGGGATAGTCTGCTTCTGAAGTAGTACACAGCATGATGTATCTTGTGGTCCAAAACAGATGTGTAATGATGGATGTGTTTGCCACCAGAACGGCTTACCACGTATATAGCCGTGTAGCTCAAACGGTGATGATAAATGTGGTAACGCCAACACCCATCAGGCAGATGAAGTAGGTGATGATCATGACAATGTCTTGGATGATCAATTCAATACACGTACATTCTGTACGTTTACATGAGTTGAAAATAATCACTTCATATTTCATGGACAAACATGGCCAGGTGGTTAGGGCGCTCGACTCGCAATCAAAGGGTCGCGGGTTCGAAT